TGAAACATCCTATGGCTTTATATATTTTTGTCTATTTTGACCTTATCTATGTTATGTTTTTAAAAAAGTCTTACTAGGAGGGCTAAGGTTTAAAAAATTAAATAGAGTAAATTACTTTTTGAGTCCTAAAAAAGCATCACGAAGCCTATTATAATTTCTTAGGAAAAAAAATCGACTTATGGTCCATTTCAAATTCAAAATAAACCTAGTCAGTCGAGATCGTGGTCCCTCTGAAATTCAAAGAAAATTCACGTTAATTCCTCAAATTGACTAACATAGGTCTATTTTGAATTTCATAGGGACCACGAGTTGATTTTTTTTTCTAAAGGATTAAATTGGACCCTGTGAATTTTGTTGAAGACTCAAAAGGTACTTTACTCAATTAAATATAGTGGACATACTTATCTTTTATGTTAGGAAAAAAGATTTCTAAAGTTACTTTAGATAACCTTCTCTGTCGTTCACTATTTTAATTATGCCTTATCGGTGAGATATAGTTATAATGGTAAAATTGTTTTTTTTTCTCTCCCTTAAATCCTAAACTCTAAACTTGTTAGCCGAATATATCTGAGGAGAGAAAAAAAGCAGCTTTATTATTGTAACTATGTCTTATCGATAAGACATAGTTAAAATCGATTACTATAGATAATTTATCTAAAGTAATTTTAAAAAAAATGTTGAAATGAGATAATATTTGCTGAGTTGTACAGTTGTTGAAATTTTAATCATTGATTATACAATTACATAATCATAGGATATTTGTATTAAATAGATTAATTTTCTTATTTGCAGTTGATTGACATAATCATAGGAGTTTTGTATTGAATAGAAATTGTAAAAGGTTATTTCATTTCCTTATTCGTAGCTGATTGACAGCTAATTTGTAATGGACATAGAGTCCTTATTTATGTATATAATTACCCCAGTAGAGGAAGAATAAACATACAGAAATATTCATAATATGGCACCATTGTTTTGACATGGTATCAGAGCATTTCTGATCCAGGAACCTATTTTCATTAAACTTTTCACATCGTATTGTTCAAATTGCCTGACTCGAATTTTTTTTTTTTCTGTTACCCAATTCAAATTCCTATTTTCCAATGAACAATCCCAAAACCTCCTCTGAATCTTCAAACCCGTATTTACTGTGAAGCTTACTATTCATTTTGTGAAGAAACCAATTGGATGCAAATGGGTGTTTACTGTGAAGCTTAAAGCAGATGGCAGCCTTGACAGATATAAAGCCAGATTAGTTGCTAAGGGATACACACAAAAATACGGGGTTGATGACCAAGATACATTTGCACTAGTAGCAAAACTGAACACAATTCGTATTCTGATTTCTATAGCAGCTAACAGGGACTGGCCACTCAAGCAATTTGATGTAAATAATGCATTTTTAAATGGAGACTTAAAAGAAGAAGTATATATGGAAATTCCACCAGGCGCCAAATATGCCAACTTGAAGGGAAATGAAGTGTGTAGATTAAAAAAAAGCACTATAGGGCCTCAAGCAATCACTTAGAGCTTGGTTTGACAGATTCTCTCTAGTCATGAAGAAGTTTGGATACAAACAAAGTAATGCAGACCACACCCTATTCATAAAACATAATGGAGGAAAGGTAACATTGTTAATAGTGTATGTTGATGATATGGTTTTGACTGGTGATGATTTATTTGAAATGGAGTTATTGTAAAGACATTTAGCAAATGAGTTTGAAATGAAAGATCTAGGATCATTAAAGTACTTTCTTGGAATTGAAATTGTTAGATCAAATCAGGGAATTTTTTTGTCACAAAAAAGTACATTTTAGATCTACTTGCAGAAACAGGAATGACAACATGTAAACCAGCAGAAACACCAATTGAAATGAATCATGTATTGGGTTTATATCCTGATCAAGTACAGAGTGATGTTGGCAGATATCAGAGGCTAGTTAGGGAGGCTAATTTATTTATCACATACTAGGCAAGACATTGCTTATGCAGTTAGTGTTGTGAGCAGATTTATGCATAACCCAATTGAGGATCACATAGCTGCTGTGTATCGAATATTGAGGTATTTAAAAGGTGTCCAGGAAAAGGTCTGCTTTACTCAAATAATAATAGTCCCGGGATTAAAGGCTACACAGATTCAGATTGGGCTGGAGATAAAACTACCAGACAGTCAACTTCGGGATATTTTACTTTTGTTGAAGGAAATCTAGTTACTTGGAAGAGTAAGAAGCAGAAAGTTGTGACTAGATCGAGTGCAGAAGCAGAGTTTAGAGGAACGACACATGGAGTGTGAGAATTGTTGTGGATTAAGAGCATCTTACAAGACTTAGGAATCTGCTACAATCAGCCTATGGAGTTACATTGTGATAATAAAGCTGCTATTGAAATTGACCATAATCCAGTTCAACATGATAGAACCAAGCATGTAAAAGTGGATAAACACTTTATCAAGGAAAAGCTAGATCAAAAAATTATTCAATTTCCCTACATCAAATCTGAAGATCAGTTAGCTGACATCTTGACAAAGGCTGTATCAGGAAAAGTGATTGAAGAAGCAATTAGCAAGTTGGACACAATTGATATCTATGCACCAACTTGAGGGGGAGTGTTGAAATGAGATAATATTTGCTGAGTTGTATAGTTGTTGGAATTTTAATCATACACAATTACATAATCATAGGAAATTTGTATTAAATAGATTAATTTTCTTATTTGCAGTTGATTGACATAATCATAGTTTTGTATTAAATAGAAATAGTAACAGAATAGTAACAGGTTATTTCATTTCCTTATTCATAGCTGATTGACAGCTAATTTGTAATGGACCTAGATTCCCCATTTATGTATATAATTACCCTAGTAGAGGAAGAATAAATATACAGAAATATTCATAATATGACACCATTGTTTTGACAAAAAATAACCCTTTATGTTATATGTTTAGGGTAAGTACTTGTTTGGATCTTCTATTTTTTACTTTCTTTTCTCCTTATAAATAGAAGTTAGGCCAAATATATTTTTGTAAAAGCTTTTATAATAAAAGAGCTTTTTTTATAATAAAGAAAAAAAGTCAAAAGCCAAAAGCTTCTAGAAGGAGTTTTTGTTTAAGCTCTTATCAGCTTTTCTTAAAATGAGGTTTGAGATTTTAAGTAATTTTTAAACTAAAATTTTATATAATTAACAAGTAATTTTTAATTTTTTTGTTTTAACTTAAAAATAACTTAAAAAAAAACAGACTCTAAGAAACTTCCCGAGCATTTCAGAGCGATTAAATTTGAAGCGACCGCCACATTTGAAAAATGATTTATACTTTTCTTTTTCAACCTTCCTAATTTAGATTGAATAATCGGTTCAAACTTTAAAAGCACGTATACAAAGAAACTTTTCCAAGTTCGATATAAAATAACTAGATAATTAATCTGAAATGCTTCTGCTTTCTTTCTCACCGGTAATGTCTGGCTTTTTCTTATGTCACACAACGTGTCAAAATGAAAACATATATACAAATTTATAAATTCCTTTGAAGAAGAAAGTCAAATTTAAATCTGTTTTACCCAAATTAATTTTTGGACAAGAGTTAACCAATAACTAATAATTAATTGAATCCGTAAGGACTTTGAATAGCGCTTGGTATTAAAAAAGAAAATATACTTCAAACTCTCCTAGGAGATTAATTTTTATTATTTGTTGCTGACTCTGTATAAACTCTTCCTATATACACATATATATGTCGATTACGTGAAGAAAACGAATTGTAGTCTGTGTATATATTATTAGGGATACAAAACGATGATATGACTGCTATAGTTTCTGCCTCATTTTCTTGTGCTATATATTGTTTGTTTTTAACTAACGAACCGTTATCATATGTTACGATCTTATGGTAAGGAATAGGACTTGGAGTCCCAGATTTTGGTGTGAAGTTTATATAGATTTTAAGCTCTTCTACCTTTCAAGCTTGCATTTCCACAAACCACAATTTGCATTGATTTTCATGTCTCGTGAGCTAAAGAACAACAAATTAACAACAGAATGATATATACTCAAGTCATAAAACGGGTCAAATTAACACACACACAAACCCAGTCATAAAACGTGTCAACACAAACAAAACTCTTTCAATTCAATTACAGGGGTTATTTCCCAGGTCTGACGCGCATTACTTTTTCTAGCTTCATCCTATTTAGATAGATATCTGCTATATACAGTATGATTCAGCTTTTCTTTTGTTCTTTTTTCTAACCTTCTATTATTATTTTATATATAGCTTTTTTTATTTTGTGTTATTGTGGCATTAATTATAGGATTTATACGTTATGTCATCTTAGGAGAAAGATAGACACAGAAAAATGAAAATCATGGAAGAGAGGAAGTTGATGGTTTTTTTTAATTTAAAATTCAAATTTTTTGTGTCTGTATCTCTCTTAAAATGACATAACTTTCTGTCATTTAAAATAACAAATATTTTTTCCTTAATTACGAGGGGTTTGCATTTGTCATTTAACATAACACACTAAACTTTCCTACCCATAATATTTTGTGGGACCCACACGTTTTTGAAGAAAAAAAAAATTATAGCACGCAAAATAATCTCTGCAACTCTTATAAAACCGTGATTATAATCCTAATAATGACACGCGCAAAGTATTTAGAAACGGAATCGAGACAGATTTGTTTGATATTAAAATCATACATCAACAATTTTTTTATTTTTTTATTTTTTTGGATACAATACATCAACAATTTAGATTTTGATTTATAACGCGCAGTTTCCGAGTTTATTTCTTCTGTTAGACGCGTTTTGTTGAGTTTTAAAAGCAGCCAAGGGAGAAGGAAAGCAGCGTTTGGTTTGTTGTTTGGTACAGCGAATATCGATTTTGCAGTTCGCGACGCTGTTAAAGAGTGTTACTATTAATTAGGGCATACATAACACACTCGCTCGCTCACTGTTTCACTGTTCTATTGGCATTGGGGTTTGGGGTTTGAAGTTTGAAGGAGGAATGGGAGGGTGTTTCTCAGATTTGGAAGGAGGAAAGCAAGCTGTGGGAGGGTTCCATCAATCCAACACCAATGCCGCCCACAACGACGCCGTCGACATGTTCTACACCGCTCAAGGTTTTCAGCCATTGTGCACCCAAGTTGAGGTACAATTTCTATCGCTCATCAGTTCAACCTCATTTTCTAATTTCCTCCCAAATTTCTATTTGTTTTCAATCACTATTTGATGACAGATTGAATGTTATGAATGTTCTGAAAATTATTTTATTGTCAATGGTTTTATAATTTTGTTGCCATTGTAGAACCTTTCAAAATTAAATTAATTATATGTATTTTATATTTGCAAGAGACTATTTATGTAATGTCTGACTAAAAAAAACTCTAATCTTCCTATTAAGACTCTCGTTAAAACATAAAAAATAAAAAAGAATTCTGTAGTTACAAAATTACTACCTTTCTTCTTTTTCTCTTATTAAGGGTTTTGTTTATGCTTTATGTCTTTTTCCAGCGAAGACACAAGATTGGGCTTTTTGACCCTTATGCCCCTTAATTAATAATTAATTACCAAATTGCCCCTGATTCAAAACTATTTCGAAAATTTACCCTCCCCAACAAACATAACACCAATCTGCCCCTGTTTGACCGTTGACCACGAAGCCTACCCGGGTACACCATTATCTACCCGGGTAAATTTTGAAACTTTTTATCTACCCGAGTATGTAGGGGTGTACCCGGGTAGAGTTCTTGAATCTGGGAAAATGTTTGAATTATTTACCCGGGTACGGAGCAGTGTACCCGGGTAAATCGCGACGGTAGGGTTTTAAAATACCCCAGCAGCCCCATTCGAAAACCCACAAAAGGGGTACCCGAGTAGAGCTGCTGGAGGAGTGTCATCTTGAGCGATTTCAGGCATAATCTTGCACTAATTCGTCTTGTTTGTGATCATCATTCGCGGACCTTGCAACCTCTCTGCCTTCTACCGATTGAAATCGATCAAAGGTGCATTTTTTTTTTCAGTTTTTTCAATTATGTTATGATTTCTGTTCTGATTCATTGTTTTCGTTTATATCATTTGATTCTGTCCGAATTATTTTATCAATTTGTATGTCATACGCTTACCCTAACCCTGAATGTAACCCTAACCCTAACCCTAACCCTAACCCTAACCCTAACATGTATCTAATTTCTGATTTTGGTTATTTTTTCAGTTTAATAGTGTGACACAATGACCTCTCGACGCGTTTCAAAGCTGCCAGTGACCCATTCCGAGAGAAGAACCAAGAGTCGTCACGATGGGTCGTCATCCTCTCAGCCCCAGGCTGCTTCGAGTCAGGCTCCGGACTTGACGTTCGGATATTTGTTTGAGGATGACATTCCTTCACACGAGAAGTTCGTGAAGTTTTTCATGACCCGGAAGATCTGCGAACCGAAATCACTGGATTCGGCATTCTTCAACCTAGAGCGTTTTGACATCGTGCCGCTTCTTGAGCAGACACATTTACTTCACCTGGCGGAGATGCGGTGCCCATACTCGGAGGTTATGGTAAGAGCCTTCTACCAGAACCTTGGCTACTCGCAAGGCGAGCTGACTTCCCGTGTATGCGGGATTGATATCATCATGACTGCTCCTATCTGGACGGAGCTACTGGGGTTCGATTTTGATGGTGTCTCAGGAGCAGCACTATATGATGGAGACAGCCATCATATATTTGGTGATTATAACCGGGAGACCATTGTTACAGAGACTAGGAGGGCAGACGCTGAGCCCGGTCATTTTGCTCATTATCCTGTTAGCAACTTGTCAGTTTCTGCTCGCATTCTTCATTATGTGGTGACACATATTATTTTCCAGCGCCCGCATAATCACTCAAAGGTGCTGGAAGGGGACTTTGTCATCCTGTGGGCCCTCCTTCACAGTCAGCAGGTGAACTGGAGGCATTACATATACCAGGGACAACCGTCAGCATGGTTTTTACACTTCATAACAAATCTTGACTCGTCGCTTTTTTCAACTATGGCTGTCCTGCGCCCCTTCATACAATGTATCTTCACAGCATGTTGCAATTCTGGTTTGGACCCAAATTCTTGTTGCACAAATAACGGATCTCCTAACTTCCAACCTCCGTGCAAGTCATCATCGCCATATAGGATCTCCAACTCGTCATTAGGGTGCGCCCAGTTAATGAATGAATAATGTTGGCTTTCATTCCAGAATGGCTCCTCAGACCCTGCATCTAAAGATCATGTCAAATTTAATAACTTACCACAAATAATAAATTGTCTAAAGCAAATATTCAAATTTAATAACTTACCACTACTGACTGGGTCGACATGAAGTGGTGACAAGGCTGGGGTACCGAGACTTACGGCGCTCATGTCAGCCTCAAAATTACCGTCCACGTCAGTGTCTGACGAATCACCTTCTGGAATAGCACTTTCAGGTTCTCCCTCATCTTCGCTGTCCACATAGTCCTCGTCTTCATCCTCTTCATCCTCATCCCATGCTACCTGAGGAGGTGCAGAAGATCGTACAACTGTATCTTCTTGACCGGTACAGTGTGCAGTAGTGGTTGTATGCACCGGTAAAGATGAAGATTGTCCAACATCAACTTCAACATATATCTCAATATATTTTAATACTTTCCATTCAACAAACGCATCTGTTACGAACTCCACATCTTCATCATCATTTATATCGTTTCCAATGTAGTATATTGTATCCATATCCACTACAGTCTCTAACCTGGCTATCATGCGGTGGATGGAATGTATGCCTTCTGACCCCATTTTTTGAAGAATTCTCTCCTTCAGTTCATTGCATGTAGTGCCCACTTTGATTTTCATCGTTTTTGTTTTTCCTTCAAATCGGACACCGTTCGGACCTTCAAAATGCCTCCCATTGTAGTAAACAACTATAGGAACCATGTTTGGACTTGAACTCATCTTTCACACAAAAATTAGATCTAGGTTTTGGGTTTGGAGGTTGGTTCGGATTTTTTAGCACAAAATGGGAGTGTGGAGATGTAATCTCAATGTCCCACCAAGATTCAGCTTTCTGAAATGATGAGATGAAATATGTGTGATGTTTCGGATTAGAGAGGGTAAGAGAGAAAGATTTTGGGGTTTCAAAAACCCTATACCTCGCAACAATGGCCGAAACCCATACATATTGGGGTTTCTGGACGCGATTTACCCGGGTACACTGCTCCGTACCCGGGTAAATAATTCAAACATTTTTCCAGATTCAAGAACTCTACCCGGGTACATCCCTACATACTCGGGTAGATAAAAAGTTTCAAAATTTACCCGGGTAGGTAATGGTGTACCCGGGTAGGCTGCGTGGTCAACGGTCAAACAGGGGCAGATTGGTGTTATGTTTGTTGGGGAGGGTAAATTTTCGAAATAGTTTTGAATGAGGGACAATTTGGTAATTAATTATTAATTAAGGGGCATAAGGGTCAAAAAGCCCACAAGATTGACTCTTTATTTATTCTGTATCTTCCTGTCCGTAGTGTCAACGTACTATTTATTTATTATTCGGTGGTTAGAGTCACTTTTTCTCCCGTTTTTGACCAGCGTAGACCCTTTTTCAAGATCCTTATTGTTTTTTTGTTTTCGTGGGTTTGGGTTTGCTTCAAGTCTTCTTCTAATTATTAACGAACAAGAAAGAGCTAGCAACCTCCACCAAAACATTGTTTGGTTCCGTTTGAAGGGTTGCTTTCCTCATTATATATTTAGTTGAGATTTTTTGAGTTTAGTGTATAGCAATGAATAAGAAAAAAAGAAAACATTTGTGTATACATCTATTATCATTTGATTCAAGAAACCGCTGTGGTTACATAATATTTTGGCTGACAAAATCAACTACATATAAAAGTTTCTGCATATAATTTAGGGATAGAATTTTATGCCTGTTTTTTTTTTTAGTGGATCCTTTATGTGTTATTTAATATTACCATGTCATTTAGAAAAATCTTAACTATATATTGATGAATCAATGATGATAAGGGATGAGAAAGAGAAAATATTGGGATAGGAAATTACAAACCTAACACAGTTGATTTGTTCATTGATATTTAAGATTCTATCACACAATTGTCTTGTAACGCCCGGCCGCGCTTTAAGAATCAACGATTGTCTCCACATACTAACACGAGACTTTTCAGTGTGTTTTTTCCTCACTCGCACACTTCTCGGAAAAACTTCTCAGGAGGTCACCCATCCCAGAATTGCTCCAAGTCAAGCACGCTTAACTGTGGAGTTCTTCTGATCCGGGCTACCGAAAAGCAGATGCATCTTGTTAGCATAGGTAGTACCAATTAATTCTTATAAGCTATTCCAAACTGTGCAGTCTCACCCCTACACAGTCTTTGGAATCCCTCTCTTTCGGGTGTCGATTTGATTCATTCATGCATGTAACCCCCACGCTGGAAGCCTGTCAGGAGCCGTTCCTTGTCCGTGCCTCTTTGCACCGGCGATCACTCCCCGCCCTCGTCAGCGCTCGGGATGTTACATGCCCACCAGCTTCCGCCTGGTTCGTCCTCGAACCACACCGTATTGGATGAGAGGCCCTGCTCTGGTACCATATGTTTAAAAAGGAAAAATTTATCCGATTTTCTAATTGAACCAATGTGATTGTAAGTGCGCTTAATGCCGTACGCAATGATAACAATCCGGTTCTAGAACGGGGTGTTACATGTCTCATATTAAATAACTCATTAGAGGATTCATTTCCAATTTTTTCATACATTTCCATTTTTTTCATACTTATTCTACTTAGGGTCCGTTTGGATGAACTTTTAAAAAAATGACTTTTATGTATTGCTTTTTTTTTAAATAATTTTTTTTAAAAGGTAAAGTTATTTTACGTTTGGATATATGATCTGAAAATCACTTTTACATAAAAAAGTTGTTTGAATGTTAAAATAAAAAAAAACACTTTTTAAATATAAAATTACAATAAATGAGAGATAAAATAGTTGGGATAAGGAGAGATAAAATAGGTATGATAGGATAAGGTTAAAATTGTATTTTAAAAATTTATATTATCTTTTTTCCAAAAAAAAAAAAATTACATTATCTTTTGATTTCTGTTTGTTTCAAAAGCAACCAACTACTAGCTATTAAAAAAAATAGCATTTTAACTTTTATTTTAAATTTTACTTTTTTTAAAAAAATATTAGGGAAAAGTTTACCAATGCCCCTGTGATTTGCTTCAGAATCACCTATGCCCATGTGGTTTTTTTCTATCACATATGTCTCTGTGATTTGCAAAAGGGTATGTTTTTTTATCACATATGCCCATGTGGTTTTTTATTTTTTACAAAGCACATGGGCATATGTGATAAAAAAAAAATACCACAGGGACATAGGTGATTCTGAAGCAAATCATAGGGACATTGGTGAACTTTTCTCAAAAATTTATTCAAACATCTAAAAATTCTCAAAAGGACTTTTATTTAAAAAAAAAAAGCAACTTTTTTAGGAATAAAAGCTCATCCAAACGGGCACTTATTCCTTTTATATCGTTAGATCAGAATCTCAAGAGAAAGAAAAAAATATAAAAATTAATTAAAATTATAATCTAATAGTATTGAAGAGAAATATGTAGAGAAGACGTCAAAAAAAAAAAGTTAAGCATAATATCAAAATTCCTATAATTTATAACCCTATTTTTTTTTTCCTTTTTTCATTATTTCCTTTCTCGTCAATAGTACATGATCAATTTTATAAATAATTATTAAGAATAATACTATCTATTCATACTTATACACATTATTTTATGTTAATACATTTTTATTGTTTAATTTTAATTAATATTGTATTATTTTTTATGCACTTATATTCTCAAACTTTTGCACTCAAATTTAAATACCAAGTTTGGTGCTAACGTGCTTTAAGCATTATTCAACTGGTAATTATATGTGCAAAGAATTTGTGCAAAAAAAAAATTCTCACAAAATCATGGAAAACATTGATGAGCATTAAAAAAATATAAATGATGGACAAGCATTATTCAAGTGCTAATTATATGTGCAAAGAATTTGTGCAAAAAAAAAATTCTCACAAAATCATGGAAAACATTGATGAGCATTAAAAAAATATAAATGATGGACAAGCATTATTCAAGTGCTAATTATATTTGCAATGAATTTACGCAACGAAATCCTCACGAAGTCAAGGAAAACAATGATGACATGTTCAGGAAATCTGTAAGATTATTTTTTCTGAATATTTATCGTTACTAATAGGGTAATGTTACTCTCACGTAACATGAGAGTAGTTCTCTCATGTTACAGAGAGAATCCAAGTAGGACCCGTTATTTAAAAGCAAAAAAAAAAGGGTACGTTTTTGAAGTGAGAGAAAAAGAGATAACTACCTCATGTAAAATAAGAGTAGTATTTTCTTTACTAATATGTAACAAACATTTTATTCTTTTGCAGGAAGGAGGTTTTAAGTTTTGAGTCTGTCACCTGCAGAGGGTCAAATCATGTAACATTGTGTGTGACATTGGATATGGCATTCAGATACAGTCTGCAAAACTTGAAAGAAAAGATGTGATGGATGTAAAAAAATTGAAAATCATAATTTTAACCATTATATATCCTGCTGGGCGACCAGATAATTAACTTTATAAAGTGGACTTTACACGGGCTCTTCAATCAGGATTATCATGAATGTGTAAAACAAATAGAAGCTAAATTATGGTACTTCAAATATATCAGTCATGATAAAGTGTCAAATATTAATAGAAAAGAGAGTCAAATTGTGCAAATGCATGCTTTTTATGTTGTTAAGCTTTACCTTACATTGATATGATTCTAAAACATTAGCTCTAGAAAAGCTAACCAACAAATCTCTAGCTACGTTTTATAATCATGTTTTTGCCGCTTTGATAAAGCATGATTCTGTATTTTATGAGTGTTTGTCTTCCAATTTATTATCTGTTCACTTTTTTATTTTTTTTCAAATATACTATTCGTTATTGTTGGAACTTGGTCAAGTTGGACAAATATTTATGGTCTTCTAACTTGTGCTGCAGCTATCTCTTTCAGCATCTAACTTACTTGATCAGGACATTGTTTCAAAGGTATATTTTCTTTCAGAATATGTTATACAATGATTTGACACGGTTTTCATTTTCTTTGCTGCTTGATGTTTCTTGTTTATTTATCTGTAACCTTTCTTTTCTTCGTGAACTCCCTTTCCATTTACCTTAACGTCCTTACCTCTTTTTATGCTGGGAAAAGCATCACAATTTTCAATTATTTTGGACAAAAATAAAGTTCCTTAGATGTTTATAGTATCATTTTTAATAAATTTGTAGTTCCTTAGATGCTTATAAATAGAGTCAACTTACAAACTCTAAAACCCCCAAATTCTAGTGTCTATTGTTCTTTTTCGCAATTGGATTTGTTTTAGTTTGTGTTTGACACTTGAGTAGAATGGTTGCTGCATTGAATTTGAACTTTTCTTGTAAACATCATTAATACGCATTCATGCTATTTCCTTCAGACTGCTAAGTGATGCCAATCAAGTATATTATTTTACTTTTTAGATTGTGTAAACTTGTATATAAAAGTTTATGAGGAGAGCCACATTTCCTCCACAAATTCATGTACTTGCAAATATTATTTATTTTCTTATTAACATAATAATAATAATAATCTTTTGTTGGTGGCAACTTATCTGAAAGTTTCAATATCTTCGTGGAAGTATTCTTGGGTAGTTGTACGGTTTTCAAAATTGGCCTTTGTTAGCCTAATTTAGCTGAATTCCTTTTCTTTTTCCTTTTTTTTTTTAATTTTATTTCAGAGTGATCCCATGGTTGCTGTGTTTGCAAAGAAAAGAGATGGTAATCTGGAAGAATTAGGTCGCACTGAAGTCGTAATGAATTGCTTGAATCCAGAGTGGATAGAGAAAATAACCCTTGCATTTCAGTTCGAGGTTGTGCAACCACTTCAGTAAGTTATCCTTGATCTGTCCTGTGCTTATTCCTAGATAAATGGTCTACTTTGTACAGCAATGAGGCTTCTTTCTGATTTGACTTATTGACTTACAACTCCCTCTCTCATTTTGCTTTTCTTCCAGATTTCATGTGTATGACATTGATACAAAATATCATAGCGTTCCCACTAAGGTTTGTTAACCGCAATAACTCTTCCTTTTAACATTCTATGCTTAGTTAAACCATGAGTTCTTCCTGTATTGTTTGCACAATCAGGTTTTTTTACTGTGACACTTTTCAACTCAGCTAAAAAGACACATGGCCGGCCAACTTGTAGTCCAGTAAACTTTTAAAAAGATAAATCTTCAGCTATAGTGTTCATTAGTTTGCAATAAAAACTGTTTATCCACATATATATGTAATGGTTTCACAAAATCACTAAATCATACACTGGTACAATATTAAGTAGCTAGCTAATTCTGAATAATTAGATAATAACAGATAACTTAAATTTGATAATAGACAAGAGCTAGAGCTGATAATGGACAACTTACAGCCTTCCTAGTTATAATTTCGAATTGCTTAAATTGGACAATTAGTTGATTACCGTATCCAGCGTTTTTAGAAGTGATGAAGTTAATAAGCTTGTTAATCTTGCCAATTTCAAGCAAAAGGAAATTTTCATCGGCAAATTATTTTCTTCATAGGTGAGAAATCATTTATGTCATACATCCACTTTGTTGGATTTGAAAATAGGACTATCCAGCTCCTTTCAACTTTTAATTATATATGAACTTGTGTGATTAAAGAAATAAATTTAGTGGCATATTTTTATAATTTAAATATGGCATAATGAGATTGGAATGGGAATCAACTGATTAAGATGATGAAAAGTTAAATGAAACGAGATATGAAAAGTTCAGATATGAGCTTTTATTTTGTGACATCAACATCAACATCTTTATCCCAAACTATTTGTGACATTCCTCCAAATTTATATTCTCACTTTCTAGTTAATGGTTATGGTGGTGAAGTTTATATATGAAAATTAAGAAAAGTTTTTATCCTTTTCTCTTGCAGACACTAAAACTGAAAGATCAAGAATTCCTTGGAATGACCAGCTGCACTTTATCAGAGGTTAGTTTCATTGCATTCATTTGCATTCGTTGATGACAGCCATGTTAATTTGGTGTAATATGTCCACTATTCTTTTCTTTTTTTATCAAAAACATTCAGTTTGCACTTTAAACTACAGAGAAATTGTCATCAGGCTTTTAATTCGGTGGTACACTCACAAGGCACCAAGTGGATGTTCCTCTCCCATGATTCCCGTTGCCCAAGAATTAAACCAAGGATTTTTCTTATTTTTTTCCATTTTTTGTCTCTCACAGCCATTTAATATGACAATGTTCATTGGGGATACATCATTGACCCTATACATAGCTCGCTGCTTCCATAATGTGCAACTTCCAAGTGATCCGCATTATGTGACCTTGATGTTGCAAAAGAAAACTTGTCTTTAGCTCATCCCATTAATATCACATTATTAGTGCTGCTTGCTAATTATATTTCACTGAGAATTGAGACTATGGACATTGTGTGACACTGGTGTATCTTCTGTGTATGTGTACGTCTGTGTTCCTCTGTGGCAGATTGTGACTAAACCAAGCCGGAGCTTAACCTTAAGGCTCCAAAACAAAAGCGAGCATGGTGGTTTAAGAAACCTAGGTTCAATTACTGTTCATGCTGAGGAGACTGTCGCTGCAAGGAGTGCTGTTGAGTTGATCTTCCGTTGTTCTCGCTTGGATAACAAGGACATTTTTTCTAAAAGTGTACATATTCGATGCCCAGCTCCTATTCCCATTGAAGTGCATATTTATTTTTGTTTGTTTGGTATTAGTAAAATTTCTCATCTTCGTTTTTCTTGCAGGATCCTTTCCTAAGAATTTCAAGAGTAGTTGAGAGTGGAGGTTCTGTTCCTATTTGCAAGACTGAAGTTATTGATAGCAATTTAAATCCAAAATGGAAACCAGTTTGTATTAGCTTCCAGCAGTTTGGAAGTAAAGTAAGCTTGTCATCTTTGGGCTTAGCATTTGATGTAAAATCATGGATTACTAAGATATTTTAGTTACTTTCTCACTTACAAGATATTTATCTAGCTTTCCAAATTTTTGAACTTCTGTGCAGGATAATCCATTAGTTATCGAGTGTTTTGATTTTAATAGCAGTGGCAATCATGTACTTATTGGGTAATTCTGTAATTGTTAGTTATTGTTTTATTTTTGTTTGAACTACACTTTTTTGGGCTTTCATTTTCTAGTTCATAGATGTAAAACATACTGAAATCAAAATCTTTTGACATTAGTAAACTGCAGAAATCAGTAGCAGACCTTGAAAAACTATACAAAGAGAAAACAGGTGCAAATTTTTTCGTACCATCCAAACACCACAGACAAGAGAAGGTATTTATTTTTTTATTTTTTTTGTATATGAGAAGGTATTTATTGACCCATGCAATAAATTACATTTTGGATCTACTCCACTGCTTAACCTCGCACTTCTTAAAATTTCTTCCATATAGGTTCTGAAGGGTCAACTGTTTGTGGATCACTATAGTGAAAAGGAACAGTTCAGTTTTATCGACTACATATCTAGTGGGTTTGAACTGAACTTCATGGTTGCTATAGATTTCACTGGTAAGTAACAATTGTTCTATTAGCGAAGGTGATTACTAATTTCATCTTTATAGTTTGCTCAAGTGCTTCAACATTTGTCCAGCTTCAAATGGAAGTCCTCAACATCCAGATTCTTTGCATTACATTGATGTATCTGGTCGGTTAAATTCATACCAAAAGGTAAGCTTGATACTTCTTTTCAATGCATGACTGTGAACTTCTTAATTATTGACTTGGGAAACACAATAGAATCAATCACACTCAAGGTCTTACAGCTTATTATCCAATATTATGTCTGGTATTTGTACAGATCAAGACCCATTATTTTTAAAATTTTAACTTCTTTTTGGTACTGGCTAGCTTCAATAATAGGATGAACATTATCTGATCCATTGTCTTGCTTAATCAACATAGTAATTATTTGTAGGCAATAATGGAGGTTGGGGAAGTTATTCAGTTCTATGACTCTGACAAGCGGTTTCCTGCTTGGGGCTTCGGAGGAAAGATATATGATGGTACCGTATCCCACTGCTTTAATCTGAATGGCGGTCCAGGTGGCTCTGAGGTGAGAAAAAAAATTTCTTTCCTTTTTTTGGTACGATGGTTCTTTTTATATTCTTCGCTAGTGATCGGACAAAATTGTGCAGTTATGATGTTAGACTATTCTTGAAAAGGTAGAAAACTATTGTTAAAGTTGTCATTTTTCTTCTTTAATGAACTCAGCTTCACCTCATTCATTGTAACATCCCCGTCTCGAGCCGGTTCAATTAACATACATATGATAAAACAGAAAACAGCGGAAGACTTAACTTACGAAAATACGAGTTAACTTTTTCTTTTTCTACTTTAACTCTTACTCGGGGTAAACGAAAATCGGGCAGAGTTTCCTCTATAAATCGGACAATTTGGGATTTTCCAATCCCACTCAGAAGCATTTCCTGATAAACAGTTTATACAACATAGTAATCCAGAAGTACCAGTCATGCAGATACCATCAGATACCCATCCATGGGCGCATGCAAAATATGGCTCCGTGCCACTATCCTAATCAACATGCAATCCAATACAAAATCATAAACTGAATAATACATCATCATATAACGTGCCTGAATACCCAAATGTACATGCATCCAAGTGACAGACATGTACAAAACATATACAGGCCATATACAAAATAAAGGATCAATATCGTGATCCATCAAATGCGGAAATACTAAAAGACATCAAACACTCCAAAAGGTAGTAGCCTACAGCCACTCAAAATCCGATCTGTCAACTGCCTCAGCACTAGTGAGGACTCACTGGGAATTTGGGCACCTGAAAATATGTCCCTAAAGAGGGGTGAGATTACAAATCTCAATAAGCTCCAGGTTTATAGAGAATTCTCCATACCCCTGGCTCACTCCTGCACGAAAGTCAGATACAGAGTATACGAATACAACATATAACAGATATCATAACAGAACAGAGGATTTATCCATATCATATCAGAGGTGTGCGTCGTCATTCCCAAGGGAGGACCCCAAGCGGAAATCAACGCACGTGTTCCCGAGGGAGGACCCCAAAGCGGAACCAGACATATCAGAGGCGTACACCATCAGTCCCGAGGGAGGACCCCAAAGCGGACATCCGGGTACTATACAATCAATGGCCAGAGATTGTTACAGAAATCATATTACAGAAGTCATATCAGAGCAAAACATATCATGTTATCAAATAACTCTATATGAATGCATCTATACAAAGCATCTAAATTACAGTCATACAGTCCAACCATAGTTCACTAACCATGGTGGAGCACTCAAGCAGGAAAAGACTCCTTAAACATAGAGCTTACCTCTTGAAGCTTTACCAATACGCTTACTTGTGGAACAAGTTACTTTTATCGCTTCAAGAGATTTCCAATCCTTCTCAATCCCTAGGTACACCTAGAGAATAATTTACAATGCATCAATAAAATGATGCAATACCATGATTATTTCATAAGCATACATTTTATCGCTTATTTTCCTTTCTTTATATTTTTGCCAATTCTATGCCAATACACAAGTCTAGACCTCTATACACCCGTTGGCGTTCTTTAATTTAATCAAGCATTTACTTAAGAATTTTTCACATAAATCATGCTATTTTTCTTTAAAAGTCGCGGGCATACCCTTAGGGACTCAAGGTATTTTTCAACCATTTGTCAAAGCATTTCACTTCTTAGCTCATCCATTGGTATATTAAAATGCAACACATTTTATTAGAATAAAATGTAACCAATATATATATATACCCCTAAACATCCTATAGTTCGAAACATAGAGCAAGTATTTGTAGGATTTTTTTCTAACTTTGGCATTTCCACCAATTCATCCATTTACACTACATTCCAACATATTTTACCTTTTCAAACATACAATAAAAATTTGCATGATGAACCCTATATAACCCATGAAGGCCGAAACCTAGGGGGAAAATACAATAGGGCTTTTCAATTATTTTATCACATGTGGATACTTACTCAACACTATAACTTCCTAAATAACAATAATCCATCATAATTTTCACATTCTATACTACTTTATTTCTTACCCAACCATGCTCATGACTTTCAAAACATTATTCACACTAATAAAGCCATAAGGTTAGAGTTTTGTTACCTCCAATGAACTACCCAAAGCCTAGAAGGCCTTCACCAAGCAAAGCTCCACCAAAAATGTCATTTCTCCTCCTTGATGAATAGTAGCTCGAAAATGGGGGAAGGAAAAACTCCTCACACACTCAACTATAGCTCAAATTGATTGGTGGAATGGATTCATTGAGTGGTTTCCAATCAATTTCATGTGGTGGGTCTTTGAATTTGGAGAATGGATGATTAAGAAATCAAAGAAAGGAAATTTGGAACCCTAGCCCCTTCTCCTCCAAGTGCAGCTCGGCCATGCAAGAGAGAGAAGAAGAAAATCTGAAATGAATAGTGTTTCATTTAAGTGACAAGGCTATATAGGCACATGTGGCCCCTTTCATCGGATGTTTTTCTATCGCGTATTTTAACTTAAATTGACCCGTAACTAACTTAAAGCTACGAACATATTTTTATTTTTCTAAAATCATTTACATTAATTTTTATTTGTTACAAAACAATATTCATAATTCACAGTATGGTTTCTGCACCGTTTTTGACGAAATGCACTGTGAATCACTAACTGTACTTTATTTACTTTTGAAACTTAACACTTATAAACTTATCATTTTCTTGGGCCTATATTGACTTGCTTGGCATATATTGGACTTTCTTATTCTTATTTCATCAATTATTTATTTCTGGACTCTACCGGTTGCTTAAACAGCAGTACAAAATACCCGGTAGAAACACTATTCACGAGATTTTCACGGAAAGTGTCAGACTATACAATTTTTCGTTCTGAACTCATATTTGTCGTCAGAATTATCAAATTATGTCTCTAAAATTATTTTGCTCTTTTTAAGCTCTACCGGTTAATTCACAAAACTGTAAATTCTCCGGGTTCATAACATAGTCATGATTACAGTCAAAATACTCGGAATCACACACTAAATCTAATTATGGCATTTAAATCCTTAAATTAAATCTCTAATTAAGATTTACCATTTAGGGTCATTATATTCATCAACTCTAATGTTCTATTACAAGTCATTGAACCAATAATTATATCTCCGTGTTTTCTCATTTGCAATTTTGGGAGTGAGACCTTGAGTTCAGTAACAAAATAGAAATATAATAAGAAAGAGAGTCAACAGCGAATTTATGTGCTCCCCACTACTCCTTGGTGTCCGCTCTCACGGGACCTTTTATTAGAGTTGACAAGAGAACTGCTAATAATATATACATACACCGGCCATTTTATTATACATACAGTTCAGGGAAGGACCCTTGCCCTCTTGCGCATTTATCGTGAACTTGATGTTGTACTAGGAGTCATCTTATCCTTTTATGACATGCCACTGCCCTGCTTGTTCATATGCTTATTTGATAAAGCAGGGTCAAGTGATACTTTTCCTCCACAATATATGATTTGTATTTTACTTTGCTTCTAATACCTACCTTCTTTAAAAAGATTAATATTTTTCCTGTGTTTAGGTTGTAGGAGTTGAAGGCATAATGGATGCTTATGCTAGCGCTTTACGCAATGTCACCCTCTCTGGACCCACTTTGTTTGGCCCAGTTATCAACATGGCTGCAGAAATGGCTACCGAGTCCCTTTCATCACATAACAGCTCCAAATACTATGTTTTGCTTATCATAACGGTGAGAAGATAATGAACTGGTTATGTTGTTTTCTAATGCATGACTGTATTTTGTAACATATGATTATTAATAACCAATCAATTGTCCATCTTTTTATAGGATGGAGTTGTTACGGATCTACAAGAAACAATAAATGCTCTGGTTAAAGCATCTGACCTTCCCCTATCGGTTCTCATAGTTGGAGTTGGAAATGCTGATTTCACGAGCATGGAGGTTTACCTACTTATCCTTTTTCAAGTTTTTTCCTTAGGCTCCATCAATTATTTAGTAGCATGGCAATGCTTTGCTTTCAGAGAGAAAAACATGTAACTTCTTGGCATGCAGGTACTGGATGCTGACAATGGGAGTCGGTTAGAGAGTTCTACTGGTCGTGTAGCTACACGAGATATAGTACAGTTTGTCCCTATGAGAGAAGTACAAAGTAAGTACCAGTTGCTTCTGAGGTTAACTTCGTTAGAGTCTTTCAATTGTTTACACTTCTTTTTTACCGTGCATTTAAACTAACCCCCTTTCATGTGTTTTTGACAGGTGGCCAGATCTCTGTTGTACAAGCTCTATTGCAAGAACTACCTGATCAATTTTTGACTTTCATGAGAAGCAGGGACATCAAGCCATTTCCTTCCCATTTTCCTCATGCATCCACTATTCAATAGATTTTATCATTAGAGACCACCAAGAAGCAATTTGCATTTTTTGTTTTTTTTTTTTGCCTGTAAATGGTCCACAAATTCCAGTAGATTTCAGGGGGTAAATATTTTTTAATCATGCACAAGGGGGGAAAGGAGATGAGTGAAGTTTGCTTTGGGATCTAAATTTGAAATAAATATATGTTTGGTGATATTCTCCCTTTTCCTCTTGCCGTATACTTTGGATATTTCATATATAACATGATTTTATCCACTTACATAATATTTATTAAATTGTCAAATAATGACTTGGATAGTCCTCGTTCATCCACGTGGTAATGAGTCTAGCCTGATTTCGTCATCGATCACCTTCCATTATGGGCATCCGCTGCACCCAGCACTAATTTTGAATTCTTCTATTATTATGTTTTGTTTCCTCACGTTGGTTACAGGCTTCGCAATATTCATCCCCTGCGGTTGCTTTAAGAAATTTGTTTCAGATTGTAATGAGAAGAAAATACACATTTTTTGAGATAAAAAAATTGGCTTCCTGACAACATTTTCTCAATGTTAGTCTGAACTTCCTTCTGTAATAAACACCCCCTAGCGTTCCCTTTCAGCTAAATCAAACATGCTGCTGGTCCCTCTGGCAGCCATCTTATCTCCCTAGTCCATACAGAAGAGGTTCTCCTCTGATTTCAATGGATCTCGATCCTCTCTCATGTGAAAATTCACATGACCATGACATGTGAGAAATCATAACCATACAAAAGTGAATCAATGGTAATAAAGAAGGAGAGAAAAAAAATGTTAAAAATCTGATCCTTAAAAGGTATGTCTATAAATAATGTTTCTTCTGTGAATGAGATTGTGGCTCAATTAGTATCAGTTCAAGTCTTTTAAGACCTTGGTGTAATGAGACGGGATTCTTCTTCACCAAGCCACTTTTTCCCGCTCCTACCTTTGCAAGCAACCAAAATATTGTTTTTAAGCTCATTAATTTATATTGATTTATTTATTACTTGAGAGTAGAATGAAATAAAACAAGCATATTGACATAGAAGAGAATATAAAAGGTTCAAATTTCAATTAACTATCCAACCAAAAGAAAATTATAGTTATTTACTACTCATAGCTTGTTTATTTATAAGGTAAAGCGAATTTCAAGCAAGATTAATGAGCTGGGAAGTGTAAAGATTTTCATGTTATTAATAAGGGATTAATGTTTTTTACGTTGTAGAAGATAATTTCATATCATACATATACATAAAAGTGTGTGGGGTCATGTGAAGAGAAGGGAAACAAAAGAAAAGTATGGATCCTACATTTTTTTATGGAAAAAAAGTATCTAATGTTACTTTAGACAACTTTGTCTGATGTCCATCGAAATGACGTTGTTTTGGAGTTGAAAAATTAAAAAACTAGAATGGTAAATACTACTATAACCTTGAAATAAATTAAAATTACAAAAATACTATGATTTTCGCCTCGAAACGACGTCGTTTCGGTGAACATTAAATGAAGTTATTTAAAGTAACTTTAAAAAAAATAAACTCTATTTTTATGTGTGTAGGAGATAAAACATGAGAAATACTACTCTCTAATAATAAATCATATGATGACATTTGTTTTAAAAAAATGTGAAAAAATAGTGAAGGTGAACATTTGCAGTAGCTATTCTAGCAATGTGCCATTGTCTTGTTTAGTGATAGCGTAACAAAAGTGGTTAATCGAATTATATCCAAACTCAGGAAAAGAAAAGAAAAAGGCCCTGTAAGAAATAAGAAAATGATCCAACCAGATGGTTTAAAAGAAAGAAACTATTTTGGAGGGTGAAGCCTTTTTTTTTTTTTTTAGTACAAGAGGGTGAAGCCTCTTTAATAATTGATTCATACCGGAAGAGAAAAAAAGCCAAAGATTGAAGGGTTCTCGTTCTTCCCGGTCTATGCTTGACCAACTTCTCTTATTGATGCTAGTTTATATATGGGAAAAGTGTTTGTCGTTTTAAATTATACAACTTGTGTCATTTCACTCTCATAAAGAGGTAGGATCCACACTTTTATTTTTTTTTGTCCACTCTTTCTCTGTCATGATCTATCTCTTTCTTTTACTTAAAATGACACAATTTTATATCTTTTAAAATGACACACATAATTTGCACATAAAGGAGACAAGTATCTTATGCTAGTGAGGCATAAAAAATTGTGCCATTCTTTTTTTATTTTTTTTTTAAAATGGTGTGACCCACATAATTTGTTTCTACGTCATGATGTAAGTTATCTTCTATTAAAGAAGATTAATAAATCTCATATATATATATATATATATATATATATATATATATATATATATAGGATTTGGTGTTCGTCATTTTAAATGACATAAGTTATGTTATTTTAAGAGAGATAGACACAAAGAATGAAAATCATAGTAGAGAAAGTGGATGGTTTTTTTTTAATTTAAATTTTAAATAAAAAAATATTTTCTTATGTCTATCTCTCTCTTAAAATGACATAAATTTATGTCATTTAAAATGACAAAAATATATATATATATATATATATATATATATATATATATATATATATATATATATAAGTTATTGATGGCAGTTTTAAATTTGAATTATATAGTTGGGTGTCTCTGAGCTGATTGTTTTAAAATTTAGGTAAAAGATGGGTAGAATTTGATGGGCTATAAATATGGGCTTCGACGCGCTTATTGCTAAGGTCTGCTTCAATCTGTCCTCTTTTGCGTCAAAGAAGATTTGTTGTCACTTCTACATAATTCAGTCCATTATTTCCGGTTGATTCCTGCCCATTAACGTTGTGATTTCCTTAGGAATTAGGACGGTTTCTCTGCATTTGTGTTTTCTCTGTAGCCTCACGAAGACTACATGCAATTTTCGTCTTTCTAATCCTATTTGAATTCGTTAACTAAATCAAGATCTTAGTTGAATTCCATTTGGAGACGTACAAAATATTATTTAATTTTACCAACTTTACAAGATATTAACAATATTCTACTCCTCCTCACCAAAAACAATATTCTACTCCTAGAAAGAAGCCACTGGCAAATTGACATTCTTCCTTGGCCCATCATGTTTGAAAATTTTATCTTAAAGAAAAAAACATGTGATTTGATGTTTGATTTGAAATTTGAACTTGTAGCCAACTATTGCTGCGTTTGCACTTTGCAGTTCTCGTCAATGTCAATAGTCAATAATCGTAGCCTTAAAGGAGAGCATAATGTTCACATCAATGGCAATACGGTCTTTTAATTCTTGGTTTACTTCTGTGTATCTGAAGTGACTTGTGGAAACAATGACATGTGAATACAAAATTTTGATCGTAATACACAATTTTTGTTTGTGGCTTGGAGGTACGAAAAAGTAGTTATTTAGCAATGTTACATCCTTTTAATAATACTTTTTTCCTTGATTATTTACAATAAAAAATACTTTTTTCTAATAATTTTAAAAAATTATATATATTTTGTTGTTTTAATGATCGTGAAGATTATTAAAAAGATATAAGATTATTCTTTATTTTGAGATTCCTGGCTTTGGATACTGAAACATCCTACAACTTTGTTATCTCTGGGTCCTCCCGTGACAATTAAGCTGCAGTAATGGCACGAAATAATAGCTCCACTTTAACTGTCCCCACCACACTATCATTGGTATGAATAATTGTTACGGACTAATATCTGATGTTCATTTAACACTAAATTTAATAAGAGACAATCTTATGATATAATTAAATGAGGGTATTCATCAAAAATATTAATCCTAATACGACAACATTAAACATGGACTTGGGGATAAATAGGAGATAAATACGACAATATTAACAGAAGGTCCAGAATCCAATACCAACAGGTAAATTCTATAAATAGGAGATAAAACTTACATGCATGGATTATTCTCTCTCTTATTATTATGATGTTTCTATACATTTTATTTCAGGATAATAGTCTGTTAAACTCAAGGATATCTAACTCATACATAAAAAGCACCTAAATCTAAAAAAAGATTATTAGCCTATTAGGTTAGACACCTTTATCTTCGTTACATATAAAATAACCAAAGAGGTTCACTACCAATGGCGGAGCCATGTGTTGGCTGGATGTGGCCTCGGCCCAGGTTAAATTTTAACAAATTGTACTTATTATGTATAATTATATAATTAATTATAATTTGGCCCGGGCTACAATTTGTAATTTGACCTTATCTAAAACTTAAAATATTTTTGGTAAAAGATTTGGGTAAGTTGTATTAGGTTATGTGTTCAATTTTTATTTATATAAAAAATTATATATTTTTAGTAAAATTAAAAAATATTTAATAAAATTATAATTCTTCTTAGTACTGCCTGTTCAGGTGCTCTGTATTTAATATAATTTAAATATAATATAATTTTAACTAACTAAAATTATAAAAAATAAATACACATATAATTTTTTGACCTAGAATCAAATTGAAGGCCGATTCCGTCACTGTTGACTACGTGGTCCCTTTAGCAGTATTAAAAATCTCCAATTTAGACTAACATATTCAGCTTCTAGTATACTTGTGCTCCCTCCAAATCCCTCTGGATTAATAATACTTGTCTTTGACTTGTAGAGGAAATTAAAATGGATAAGCTGTTTGTACAAATGGCATTAATAGCTCAGGTCTCAGCTCCAGAAATTGGGACCCAACACATTAGTTCAGCCTCCTTCCTTTGTTCTTGCTTGGTGTTCATTCTGATAAGTGATGGTACTCAAACAGACAGCTCGTGCTTACGGACGCACGCGGCAACATGGCACGAGTATTTACTGTTCAAAAATTGCCCTCCTCAATCTCCCACCTTAGCTTCTTGACACGTATGCAAATGCACTTCAGTTTGGAATGGAATATAATGCAGTCACAACAATTTTGTGAAGAAACCAAAAGCTGTAGGCCCTGTACCTGTGGTATCAAGTTTTTTAAGCAATTCATTCAATGATTTAATCAATGATGGATCTTGTTGTGGGGTCACCAAACTCCCAGAAACGTCCCATCAACAAGGCTAACCTTCACTCCACTTATCATTATATATTAAATGGGTATACGTCTTATCATCACACGGCGCAAGTTTTGCCCTAAGTTTTAATATGAGAGGTATATATGATAAAATTAGATATGCTTCACATAAACTAAAAATGTAAGTATATCATACATACCATATTAGTGTTTATAGACATTTTAAGTTAAATTTTCACAACTTACTATATAAAACATTTCATTTGTCGTTTGGAAAAGGCGAAACGAAAAATATGTCGTCATCCGCTTATCCGTATTTAAAGTAATAAAGTTTAAACTTTATTTGCCATTTGTCGTGTGGCCAAAAAAATGAATGTTGCCCTCATAATTGATGTTTCCAATTTGTGAGTTGAGAGTGGAGTCTAATTAGTTTATCTTAAAGTAATTATTGAAATATTACTGTTTACCTCGTTATCTCTTGATTATTTAATTTATTTAATAGTTTTCATGTACCAATTGTATTATTATTATGCTCGTGTTGTGTCGTGTGGTTTACATAAGAAAAAAATATTTCTACAGCTACCTTAGGTACGCTTATCTACAGCTATTCTGTTGTAACTATGTTCTCCCGGAAGAATATAGTTATAACACTAAAGTTATTTTTTCTCTCTTTCCATGTCAGCAGGTTCTGAAAAGTAAATGAGGAGAGAAAAAAAAAAAAAACTTTAGTGTTATAATTATGTTCTCCCGAGAGAATATTTTTTCTCTCTTTCCATGTCAGCGGGTTCTGAAAAGTAAATGAGGAGAGAAAAAAAAAATAATTTAGTGTTATAATTATGTTCTCCCGAGAGAACATAGTTATAAAAAGTAACTGTAGATAAGCTTATATGACTGTAGAATATTTACTCCTTTACATAAACTTCATTCTGTTTATACCTCATGTATTCTCCCATAATTGAATTGATCGTTAAGTCATATCAGATTAGCTTAAATGCTTCTAACTAGTTAAAAATAGGAAGATATGTTCATTCATAGCAAGTGTTTACTGGGAGGTAGGAAGTGAGAGGTCCAGACTTCGAAAATGGCACTACCCAACAGACAAGTCAACACCTTGGGTTGAGTGGTGGAAATAAAAAAGACGAAAATAATAGAGGGATCAAATTAAAATGGGGAGGGAGGGAGGGGAGGCGATAATTCCTGAGTGAAAAGGATGTAAAAGATGAATGGAACATGACACGAGTTTTGGATATCGTCATCTTATTAAACAACTAAACGAGTAAAACGATGTTTTAGTAGTTGGAAATGTAACTCACTTGTAATTTAATCTTTTATTTGAACCATATGTACATTCAACCATTGAATTATTCAAACCTTGTGGCTCAACAACCAAATATAATGGTAGCTTAGTTGTCGCAAAAGAAGTGAGTAAGTGGGGTGAGAATATGTGTTCAATCCTTTTAGTATCATCTTTGGATGAATTTAATTTAAAGGCTTAATTTTAGGATCCGTCCTGAATCGAATTAGTAGCGAAATAATGAACCGATTGGAATATCTCTAAAAATAAAATAAAAAATTATTCAAAACTATTTTATTTTAGTGTCTGTCAGACTATAGTTTGAATTTAAAGACTAAATCATCATATAATTAAAATCAAGGTCTAAATTCGAGTGAAATGTATTTTAAGGAGAAATGCTATTTACTGGACTAAGTAGTTAGTTTATTATAAGCTACACTAAACTACTAGAGTTTATAAACGATTGGTTGATGGGGAAGATAAGAACAGAAACACAGGAAGTGACTGACATTAAATACAAAAGGGTTCTATATATAAAAAAACAACCATGCGGAGTTCCAGAGGCAGGGTTATGAGAGTTCTCCACAGATTTTGACATTTACCAAATCTCTGTGCAGGCATTAGTAGTTGCCAGTTGAGAACAAAAAAAATTACATTATAGCAGAAGGAAGATGAAATAAATATCTGAGATCTTGAGTTGCTGTTTAAAACTTGAGAGACTAACAATGTATGGTGTGAGTCAGCTGCAGAGGCAGTTGCTTGAATACACTTCATCCCTCTTTCAAGAAGTAAGTATGCCTTACAATTACAAATAAACATTAAGAGCAGAAAGGAAAGCCTCATAAACTATGTATCTTGTATTACTACTAACTGCATCTATTTACTGCTTTGTCTCTCTATCTCTCACTGTATGTGTGTGATGGTTTTGGTTATATCTTTGTTCTCTTTGAAAAGGGATTCCTAGATGATCAATTCAATCAGCTTCAGCAACTTCAAGATGAAAGCAACCCAGATTTTGTGGTTGAAGTGGTGACTCTCTTCTTTGAGGACGCAGAGAGGCTTCTTAATGAGCTGGCAAAAGCACTGTAAGGCCACACCATTACCTTTTTTTTAATATGTATTCGGACCAAAAGAAAGTATCTTTGGAAATCTCTTTCTAAACTCCATATAATTAATGTTGATTCATCTCAAACAGAAGCCAGGGAAGCATTGATTTTAAAAGGCTGGATGCTCTTGTTCACCAGTTGAAGGGTAGCAGCTCCAGGTATATGCTTTATGAGTAGTTTCTCCATATTTAAAAACTCAGGAAATTATAAGATGTTCTCAAAAAAAAAAAAAAAAAAGCTAATGGTGAAAAATGTTCACCAGGAGAGTGTTAGCTTAGCCTGCACAAATGGTTAGAAACTTTGGGGTATTTGTCTTCTTTCTTACGTTGGTAGAAAATGTTACCTTTTTGGTAAGTGCTGCTCTTGCTTCACCACAGTAGTAGTGTATTAAAGTTGCCATTTGCCAGGATTTGCACTTTGGGAGGCACATGTAATAGAGAGTCATGGTTTGGGTAGCTCGATTGCAAAACACCCACATATTAACTGCGGGAATTTTCCTGAAACATTTTCAAAGGCATGACACAACAAATTTGGTGGTATATATATGTATATATATAAAAAAAAAATTCACCTCAGTGAGAGGGAAGCACATTAAATCAAAGACTGTGTCATCTTTCCATATACTTTTTTTTTTTTTTTTGTATATATCATCTTTCCATATTCTTAAAACAAGAGAGAGCTTGCTAAAGGACACATTTCCCTCCCTCTTGTTTCTACAACTAGCATAATTTTGACAAGAAGATTGTGTTATTGGGAAATACAGCATCGGCGCACAGAGAGTTCAGAATGTTTGCATTGCCTTCCGAAACTACTGTGAGGAGAAAAATGTTGATGGGTAAGTTTCCAAACAGTTGAATATAAAAAAAAAAATTATACTATGGATATGATTCTTGTCAAAATGTCATGTCTAGTTGTCTGCATTTGATAAGTATTTTTGAAAAAAAAAAAAAATGTGCATGTGCTGATAAGAAAAAAGACTTGGTATTCAGGTGCCTTAAAAGCTTGCAACAAATAAAACAGGAGTATTCTTTGGTGAAAAGCAAGTTTGAGACTCTCTTCAAGGTAAGGGGATGAGGGTCCTGTCTTGATCTACGCATTAATCATGAGAAACTGTTTTTGTGTCCTTTAAAGTTGATATGTTTCTAATTATTTGATTGTAGATGGAGCAGCAGCTGTTGGCCGCAGGAGGTTCGGTTTCTAGGGAGTGAGTGATGTTTGCTTGCAATTTGCAATAACCAGAAGAAAGCATCAATCATGTCCAATCTGCTTACAAAGCAACCACTTCTCTGTTGTAATTTTCTCTTTGTTTATGATTTTGTCCTGTGTAACTCGGTCGTTTAATTGAATTTATCATTTAAGCCAGAGAATGATCCATATCTAGTCCAAAAGAAATTTGAATAATCCCTACTCCTTTGGTTAATACAGAAGCTGGACCCCTAGCTGTGCAGTGTTAAGTATCTTTCATCTTTGCCTTGCCAACGAAGCAAGATGATGAAGATGGCACTATTAACAGTGTCTTAATAATATGTTCTTACTTTCTTAAGGCGCCAATCTTGAATGCTTCATTCATGATGAGATAACTTCTCTAAAGTGGAATTGTTTGTTGAGTCCATCTAATAAGGGTGTATTGATTTTTCTAGTTTCATGGATTAAAATCACGATATACTTCAAATTAAACCATACACTTTAAATTAAATCAAAGGGTATATATACCCACCCTTACTTGTGCACTTCACGGACAACTTCACTTTGTAGGAATCTTATCCTTTAATTCTATGGGAAAAAGGTGTGTCATTTTTTATTTTTTTAGGTACACAAAGGTATGTTATTTCATAGACACAAAAAGATGTAGATCCCACATTTTATTTTATTTTTGTTTTTATTTTTTTTTCAATAGATCCCACATTTTTGTGTCTATGAAATGACACACATTTTTTCATATTATATAGTTTTTTTTTTTGTTTTCTTAAAGTGCAAAACCTGCTGATAAGGCCCTGTGCTTTTCTTCAGCATTAATTAACTGCATAGTCTTAGTCCATATCTTACCCATCCTAGTGTTGGGGTGTGAGTTTTTAATTTTATAGAATGTGCAAAACGTGAGATTATGATTCAAATTTCAAGTTCCTAATATCAATTATATTCCATGCACCGGCACTGACCATCTGCTCCTACAATCTAGACCAACTCCACTTCGTTGGCATGTTTTAAAGAAGCACATACAAATTACAAGCAATGAAAAACAAAAGAAAACCCACATTGGTGGTGTTTTCAACTTTTCATGTGGTGTGGGCAATATTTATAATCACTAGTAATAAATGTTCTGTTGGTCTGAGAAATATACTAAATTCAATGAATGGGTGCATTCCAAGGTCAACTTCTTCGAGATAGATAACATGTCTCCTGCTCTGCAGATAATTTGCAGACAAGATCGCAAAAACAAGCTGTAATGACAGATTGGCTCTTTTTTTCTCTCCTTTAGTTAAGAAGACCACGTTGCATTAAGCAACAACTTCTATTTTAGTGAAATATATCATCGTACTCATAAATGTTGTGGCCTTGCCTAGGTAACCTATGAACCTGTGTTTCTTGATGCAAGAATAAGATGTGTTAAAGATACGAAATTTCATGTTTGTTGGAGACTAGGCATTTATGGACTTTGATATGCTTTGAGGTCTTTATTTTGATTGATTTCTTAATATAATTGTCATGCAATATATCCATATCCTAAACACCTACTTATGAATTCCTTAATGGATAATGACACAATTATTCTAACAGCATAATAAAAATAATGAAGATAAAACTCTTTTTCCTACAAATAAGAGGTTAAGTCACTACTAGAAAATATATTTTTTTCGACGGAAATATTTCGTCGAAAATGGTTAAAATTTCGACGAAAATGATGTTTTCGACGGAATTGAAGCCGTCGAATATATCTTCGTGGGTAACAATTTTTTCGACGGAATTACAGATTCTGTCGAAAATTTTGACGGAAATTTCGACAGAATAGTTTCTGTGGGAAATTTCGACGGAAAAATAATTCCGTCGAAAATTTTCAACGGAAAATGAATGAAATTCCGTTGAAAATTGTTGTAATGATTTTCGACAGAAAACTGATTTCGTCCAAAAAAATTCGACGGAAAATCAATGAAATTCCGTCGAAAATTGTTGTAATGGTTTTCGACGGAAATCTGATTCTGTCAAAAAAATTCGACGGAAAACCAATGAAATTCCATCGAAAATTGTTGTAATGGTTTTCGACGGAAAACTGATTCTGTCAAAAAAATTCGACTGAAAAGCAATGAAATTCCGTCGAAAATTGTTGTAATTATTTTCGACGGAAAATGGATTCCGTCAAAAAAATTCAACAAAAAATCAATGAAATTCTGTCGAAAATTGTTGTAAGTGTTTTCGACGAAAACTGGATTCCGTCGAAAAGTATAGATTTTTTTTTAAAAAATTCTCTTTACAAAATTAATACCAATTTCTATAATTTACCTGATAAAAAATATAATCAAAGTAAATAACATATCAAAATAAAATCTTCTTAATGAATACAGTAAATGCACAAAAGTCCATATCATAGATTAGGCTAAGTATCAAAAAAGACTTGTACAATTAACGAGCAATGTACAATTAGTATATATTGTAACATGTATAAAATTAAAACAAAATTAACACATCAATACACAATGTAAAAATGACTTCATAATTCAAGAAACAATTTCCTCTAAATCATTTTTGAACTTCATATCAATACACAATCCTTCTTTTACAATACATATAATATTCAACTTCACCAAGTACCCAAACCTAAGAGTGCTAAGCTTTGCAAACTTGGAATCAGAAGCCTCGTCTTCATACACATGAATAACGATTTTAAGTGAGTGAACTTGAAATATTTCTCTCTGGTCAAGGTTCTACTTGACTTGAACCCTCCTTGGCATTTTTCTCCGTCTCTGACCATCTTCTTCATCAGGAGCATTATAAAACAATTTGAAACTGTCCGTGGTGGGGGAAGTTCCTGATTAATAAAATCACATCATAATGAATCCCTAAATATTCTAATTTTGATCAAAATAACATAAATGTAATTCTATATTGAAATATTCAAATGCTAAAGGAATATTTAGGCTCCTCCCACAATTATGCTAAGAAAAAGGCTCTCAGAGAATTCTAGCATAAAATAATGCCATATAAAAGGAAGTTCAGGTAAGAAGAAAACACCTTCATGTAGAAATAAACTTCCCAAACATATATATATATATATATATATATATATATATATATATATATATATATATATATATATATTGCCCATTGTTTCTAATGGTTTTCGACGGAATTGCTTTTTTGTCGAAAATCTTCGACGGAATATGAATTCCGTCGAAAAATTCATAAATATAATTTCATTTTTGATTTATTTTATTCTAATAGTTTTCCACGGAATTCATTTTCCGTCGAAAATCTTCAACGAAATATGAATTTCGTCGAAAAATTCATAAATATAATTTTTTATTTATTTATTTTTTTCTAATGATTTTCGACGGAATTCTTTTTCCGTAGAAAATCTTTGACGGAATATGAATTCCGTCAAAAAATTCATAAATATAATTTCATTTTTGATTTATTTTTTTCTAATAGTTTTTGACGGAATATGAATTCCGTCGAAAAACTCATAAATATAATTTATTTTTTCATTTATTAATTTTCTAATGTTTTTCAACGGAATTATTTTTCCGTTGGAAATCTTCGACGAAATATGAATTCCATCGAAAATCTCAAAAATATAATTTCTTTATTGATTTATTTTTTTAATCATTTTTGACGAAAAACGAATTCCGTCGAAAAATTCATAAATTGAATTTCTTTTTTATTAATTTTATATAATGGTTTTCGACGGAAAACGAATTCCGTCGAAAAATTCATAAATTGAATTTTTTTATATTTAATTTTATGTAATGGTTTTCGACGGAAATTGAATTCCGTCGAAAATTTCTATTTTTGAATTATTTTTGTGTAATGGTTTTCGACGGAAATCGAATTCCGTCGAAAATTCATAAATATAATTTCTTTTTGAATTATTTTTATATAATGGTTTTCGACGGAAATAGAATTCCGTCGAAAACTCATAAATATAATTTCTTTTTGAATTATTTTTATATAATGGTTTTCGACGAAAATCGAATTTTGTCAAAAAATAATAAATATAATTTCTTTTTGATTTATTTTTATATAATGATTTTCGACGGAAATAGAATTCCGTCGAAAACTCATAAATATAATTTCTTTTTTATTTATTTTTATATAATGATTTTCGACGGAAATCGAATTCTATCGAAAAATCATAAATATAATTTCTTTTTATTTATTTTTATATAATGGTTTTCGACGGAAATCGAATTCCGTTGAAAAATCATAAATATAATTTCCTTTTGATTTATTTTTATATAATAGTTTTCGACGGAAATAGTATTCCGTCAAAAACTCATAAATATAATTTCTTTTTTATTTATTTTTATATAATGGTTTTCGACGAAAATCGAATTTCGCTAAAAAATCATAAATATAATTTCTTTTTGATTTATTTTTATATAATGGTTTTCGACGGAAATAGAATTCCATCAAAAATTCATAAATATAATTTCTTTTTTATTTCTTTTTATATAATGGTTTTCGACGAAAATTTAATTCCGTCGAAAACTCATATATATAATTTATTTTTTATTTGTTTTATATAATGATTTTTGACGAAAATTTAATTCCGTCGAAAATTCATAAATATAATTTCTTTTTTATTTATTTTATATAATGATTTTCGACGAAAATTAAATTTCGTCGAAAATTCATAAATTTATTTTCTTTTTTATTTATTTTATATAATAATTTGGACAGAATTGATTTTCCGTCGAAAATTTTTGACGTAAAATGAATTTCGTCGAAAATTTCCGTCGAAAATTTGGGTTTTTCTAGTAGTGAGTCCTGGAGATCTACACAGCCAAAATCTAAGAGTTAACTCCTATAAATAAAAGGTTAATAACTCTTAGGTACACATTGAACTTATTTACTACTATTGCTAACACTGTTCACACAACCAATATATTTTGATTGATTTCTTAATATAATAACTTAATTCACATCCACAAACATGGCTATTTCAATGCCTATGGTACGGTGTTGGAATTGATGCATTCACATACACACGATCCAAAACAAAAAGCGAGAGAAAGGAAAGAAAAGTGATACAGTGATTTATCTTGATTTGTGAATTACATTTAGTAATATGTATTATATTCTCTTCACCGCACACATTACAAATTATTTAGTTTACAAAGAAAATATAAATAAGATTAAAAACCAAACGTGGTAATATGAATTGAGCTCGATGTGTCAACCTGTCAAAACGGGGGCAGATTGGGTTGAGGTTTTTAACCCACC